ACTGTTGGTGGTGGCTTCCCTCCCCCCTCCCCTCTGTAATGTATCCACAACAAACTACTTTCTGCCTCACATTGTTATGCACAGAAACTAGGCAATATCTAGAGAATTCCATACAACAAGGCACACAGGAACCAACATGCTCGGCAGGCTGCTATTCCCATCTATGAAAGAATGCAGTCCAGTGGGACCCAGAAGCCTGCGCCTGCCTTCTGGAGCAACACTCTCATCCAGGGAGCCCCAATCCTGCTGTCCTTCAACACCTGACTCATTTCTCGGACTCCGGGCCAGGATTTTACCACTGCCCCTGATTGTGTATTGAGTAGAATATATTGACTTGACTGGGTTAATTTGTTGTTTTAATTTATCCCTCACCTCCCTCCCAACGGACCGTTTTTATTCTTGTTGGAATTGTTTGCAATAATGTTTTTAATCCTTGCGAGCCTCCCCAAGTCACAGTATTGGAATGGAAGTTGCCAAGACATAAACAAAACAGGTTCTTGATAGAAAGACTAAAGCACAGAGTAGAGGGGGGAGAGTGAAGACATTTATCTATTATTTCCCTCTTTCTTTCTTTCTTCTTTTGTTTCAAATATAATATTCATCTTGGGTGCCTCTGCGCCTCCTTCGTAAAGATGGGAAGGGGGTGGAGAGAAAAGGAGCAATTATATCTGAAATGCCACCATGGGTGCCTCGCTCTTCTAACTTCCTCCACTGAACAGCAGCCAAAGCTTCGTTTCTTTAAAAAAAGGTATTTTATTTTTAAGAGAGTGGGGAGTGAGAAGTAATCCTACACAGGCAGAGACTCACTGTTTGGAATTGAAGAAGCCAGCTTGGAAGGACTAGCCGTCAAACCAGAGAAACCATAATGTGAAACAGACTTGATCTGATGTTATCCACTAAAATGGGAAGGAGGGGAGCGATGGAAGGGGGCAGTGTATACCCCTCTCCTTTCGTAAAATGTTTTTGGACTTGTCTTGAAGGACTTGGGGCTGCCAATGTTGCTGAAGGATGGAAAGATGCCACCTTAAAGGGATCTAAAAAGATAGTGGAGGGACTCTGGAGGGTGAGAGAAAGAAGGAAGCAAAAATAACCTCCTGCAGTATTGGCGAGGAGATATGCAAGCCAAGGTTTCTACGAAGGAGTGTGTCCAATTGCACCACCTGCATAAATTATGCAAACGGACNTCTTAGCCACTGAGCCACCACATCCCAGACAAATGTAAGTACTAAGGGGGGGGGGGGAGGCATTGATTTACGACTTCCTTTAGCTAGCACAGTACAAGATAAAAACCCTCCAGCCTCAACTTTTTGCTTTTACACATTAGTATATAACTACAGCTATATATGTGTGTGTGTGTGTGTGTGTGTGTGTATAGCCATTTCTATCGTGACAAATCTAATTGACAAAACCAAAGTCAAAGTTTCATTTTCCCCCTTCACAAGCACAGAAACCAGAAGTGATATCCAAATGAAAAACGTACTTCAATATATTCTCCTCTTTGAATAAAATAATCAATTCAAACACTCCACCCCCATTCTGTAATGTCCCAATGTGACACCTTTAAACCCTCCTGGTTTCCCAGCCAGTCCTCAACAGCTGGATTACACAGATGGATTGTAGGCGGGGGAAACAGAGGCCCAGATAAGTTAAGGTCCCTCCACCCCAACCACCCCCAAGTTGATGTACTTTTAAAAATCTTGGGATGCTTCTCCCCAGGTGTGCTGAATGGAGGATGCTGTTTAGATACAGAAGGAACAAGAGGTTGTTATTAGTATACAGACAGGAAGGCGGGCTGTACTCTACGTGGGTAGCTAAGTGGGTGGTTATTTGGATATTTAATTAAAACATTTATTATTTGCACTTCAGCCAAAAAGAATATTTACTCCTTTAAGGGACAGATAGTGCAAATGAAAATACTTCTCGTGGCTTTGATTGGTTTTTTTTCCCCCCTCCAATAAAAACTGCACAATGCCAAGTTAGGGCAGGATGATAAAAGACAAAGCTAATTGTCTATTAGTATTTGACAAGTCTAGTTATATGCATTGTTTAATTCTCCTCGTTTTGCATAAACAAAAATAGTAGGCACCTCACACCTATATAAATTCAGAGCCTGCAATTCGCACTATTGCTCAATAAAAATCATGTCTGTGGTGTCAATTATGACTTTGACAAATAAATCCAATTTGAAGAAATTGAAACCAATCGGCAGATTGCCACCAACCTGTATCACCACAATAACCAATGTTATTGCCAGCTTAGGCAAAAGTTACAACTTGTTAAGAGAAAAAATACCGTTTTCAGAGCTCACAGCTGCATTCCTTTCTAGAGCTAAGAAACTCTAAAGAGCTGATGCCCTTAAATCATAGGTTGATCAATTAAAATTTGCTGCCATTGACAAATGAATTGAGAGTAAGTTGTGATCAAGTGAAGCTTGAGCTGATTAATAATCTACCAATTGAATCAATTGCAACTCAGAATCCTTGAGATTTACACAGAAAAATAATTATACATTATACATACAAAATTTAGATATAATATGATTGTAAATACAATATATGTTACTACCCAGAGCATGGCAAAATTCAAAGAAGTAGTGCAAGATCGGAAGATGTGGAGAGATCTGGCCCATACAATCGCCAAGAGTCGGATTTGATTGAATGGATATTATCCTCATCATATGTTACTATACACAAAAAGATTTGTATAGAATAGATCTTTATGTAAAACTTCATATAGAAAAAATGGAATCCTACATTTCTTTAAGGTAAAGTTCTACTCATATTTTTCTGTGAAAGCCCATTGGGGGAAGAATGCCTGTTCCAATATTTTAAAATATCTATATCTCTCTATAATTATAGTTATAGCTACANCCTCTGCAGAAGACAAAAGCATGTGGCATGGTGATTATTAAACATCTCTTTTGGTGTCTGTCTGTCTGTCTGTACATATGGATGTGTGCGCCTCCCTCTCATGAGATTAGCACAAATTTAGAGTGGGGGGAAAGTAAAAGTAAAAAGGGAACAAAGTGGAGGAAAGATTTTGACCCACCCGTGTGGGTAAGGGGGAAAAAAAATATGCCACAGGAGTTGCAGCTGAATTGTTTCGCAATTCAGTCCCTTTCTCTCTCCCTCACTTTTCCAAATCTTAACTCAGTGGACGACCCACTCAGTCTGCAAAGATCTCCCTTACTCCCCAAAGACAAAACAAAATAATGCTCAAACTAAAATTAGGAAGGTAAATGAGGCTTTTACCTTCCTAATTACCTTTGTGGGGGATAGGTAGATTTTTAAAAGCAAAGAGGAGCTAATGAAGGCATGGAGGGGAAAATATACGATATCCTAGATCTGCAGAGATGGTTAAAAATGTACATTCTTCTTCGCACACATTCCCCCAGACCAAAAAAAGAGAACACATATTCTTTCAAAGCACAAAAAGAAAGGAAAGGAAAACCACAGTCAGTTAAACTGAGCTTAAAGAGATCGGAATATATCACTACCCAAAATATCTCAATTTGGGGTGCAGCAGATGATGGAGAGTTTCTTTTGATGTTCAGGGGTGGATAACTGAGCAAATGAAATGACAGATTCCGCTATTTTTTTTCCAGATCTCTAACTATCTCAGTGGGAGATGAAGTGAAGGGAGTGGATTCTTCCTTTCCTTTCCTTTCCTTTCCTTTCCTTTCCTTTCCTTTCCTTTCCTTAACTTTCCTTAACTTTCCTTTCCTTTCTTTTCTTTTCCTTCCCTTCCCTTTCCTTAACTTTCCGGTTGTGTTACTTTAAAACCCAGACTGCAATGTCTTAGAGAAATCACTCTATCTGCTCCCTCACTGCTGGAGGCAGAAGAGAGAATCAAGCCAACGATTTGTTAGCTATCTTCTGCTGCCTTAAATGCAAGCTGCAATCCTCTCCCAGCCAACCTGAAAATAGGTGATCAGTTGGTGGGAGGAAGCAGGCTAAGGCAGCTGAGGATGGGGGGGGAGGGGTGTTCATATAGACGAGATTTGTCTCATAATCTGGGCTGTCCTTTCCGATGTATCAACGAGCCCTCCAGCCACGCTAGCTAGTCGGAAAATGGCAGGATGGAGACCAGCCACTTCGAAAGAGTCTCTTTCAGGAAGCTCACCTATCACTGCCAATTGGATTCAACCTTCAGCCTGGGGGGAGGGGGGAGGAGCAGAGGATATCTCAGTCTTCTCCCCAGCAAGATGATGGGGTGGGGGTGGGGGCAAAGAGAGAGAAAGTTATTTTCCTCCCCAGACTTCCTGGGGGTGGGGGGGGGAGGGGAAGGGTTTCTCGTTTCTCTTCCACACCCCTCCTCTCGGAGAAGGAAGGAGAGAAGAGACACGGCATGACCTATAAAAAAAAAATTAGCTGTGTACCCTTTGCGCTGCCTCCCCCTCCCCAACCCCCACCCGGCAAGACTCGAAGTGACAGTTTTTCCAAAAGAGCTACTTCCACCCCCCCTGACTTCCGCAGAAGAGATGTTTTCTAGAGGATATGTATATATACAAGGATCCTCCGCGTTTAAGATCCCTTTGGTGATCTCCTCTCTGCAGAAACGCTACCCCGCTACCTTCCCATGCTGCCTACAAGATGATTCCTCCCCCCTCCACCCCAGGCCATGCCTTCCCCTCCCCCCCTGCTGGAAATCTGTCTTCACCCACAGATGCCAAACAGACTTTTGCTTCTGTTGAACTCTACATCCCCCTCCCCAACCAAGCATTCATTTCTCCTTCCCCTCCACAATAGTGGTGCTACCGAGTGGTACCCTTCTCGGGAAAATCCTCAACTCTTTTAAGGAAGGTTCAATGGGAGGATTCCTTTTGGGCATTGGGGGAGGGGATGGGGCATCTCTTGGAAGCTGTTACTAGCAAACCGCCCCCCCCCCATTTCCATCTTGGTACAGGGAGAGGAGAGGGGGGGGGAGATAAGAGCCAGACCCCCCCCCCTCCGCTCCCACTAGGCATGAGGTAGGGAGAGGAAAACGGAATTGCATCTTACACTTCTCAACTCCTGAGTGCGATCCTTCATTGCGACTCCTGTGGGTGGTCAGTGGGCTCTTCTTCCCCCACGGCTCCCTGTGGCACGGCAGGCAGACAGACACGGGTGGTGGGGAAGGACCCCTCTTCTTTGAGGTGGAGGGGGAGAAGGGAGAGGGGAGGGTTTGCTGGGGCTTGCAGTGATGGATAAACGGGAGCTTCCCGGCTCAGCCAAGCTGGGAGAAGAACGGTGCTCTTAAGGATGGAGAAAGGTTGGTGCTGATGCAGCAAGGCAGGGTGGGAGAATGCAGGGAAGATAGAGGGAGGGAGGGAGGGAGAGGGGGAGAGAGAGAAAGGGAGGGAGGGGGAGCAGAGCCGAGAGGCTGAGCATGCTCCCTCCCACTCAAGGGGCCATGGGAGTTGTAGTCTTATCACAGAAGTGAGGGGGAAGGCATCGTAAGTGGGGTTTGCTTTGCTTCCTCACGATTTCAAGAACCACCTCACCCCGCACTTTGTTTTGGAAAAGATTTCTGAACGGTTCCACCCAAAACGACACTGCCCGTTAATTTTGCGATTGCAGAACCAATTTGGGTGAGAAACCCCTTTGAGTCCCACAGAGAAGCAAAACGGAGAAGTAATTAATCAATGTCTATAAATATTAGTAGACATTGAGGGGGGGGCAGAAGAAGCAATATTGGCTACTCCCACTTTAACCACCTCCAAAAGGTACAGTGACTCGGGGGCAACTAGTGCGAATCCAAGTCCCCCAAAAGTTGTAATTAAAATACGGTATTGAGTTCAAGGTGTTATGGCAGCTTTGAAAATAGACCTGCAAGCTTCTAGTCCACAAAAAAAAAAAAAAAAATCACGCTTGGTAGAAAAGGAGCAACGTTTTCTCCTGTTCTTTCACAAAGTGGATGATTCTGACGCAAATGATTCCTGACAAAACTTTTGGTGAAAAATGATTTTGCAGGTTGGATCATAACCCATTCAGAATTCTGACTATGGAACCAGGGAAGGTTCTTGCTAACATGCTATCAATCAGCACAGAATAACAAGAAATGTAACTCTACCTCTCTATAATGCCTTGGTAAGGCCACACTTGGAATACTGCATCCAGTTTCGGTCGCCACAATATAAAAAAGATGTGGAGACTCTAGAAAGAGTGCAGAGAAGAGCAACAAAGATGATTAGGGGGCTGAAGGCTAAAACATATGAAGAATGGTCGCAGGAACTGGGTATGCCTCGTTTAATGAAAAGGAGGAGTAGGGGTGACATCATAGCAGTGTTCCAATATTTGAGGGATTGCCACCGAGAAGAGGAGGTTCTATCTATTTTCCAAAGCACCTGAATGCAGGACAAGAAGCAATAGGTGGAAACTAACCAAGGAACCAACCTAGAACTAAGAAGAAATGTCTTCACAGAATAATTAATCTATGGAACGACTTGCCTCCATAAATAGTCGGTGCTCCAACACTGTAAGTTTTTAAGAAGAGATTGGACAATCGTTTGTCTGAAGTAGTGTAGGGTTTCCTGCCTGAGCAGGGGGTTGGACTAGAAGACCTCCAAGGTCCCTCCCAACTCTGTTTTCTGTTTTCCAACGTATCACATCTCAAGTTTACTTGTGCCGTCTTTCAACTACAAGGAAAAAGAAAGTAGCTACTTGGTATTCCTAAAGCCAATTTGGATACAAGGAACTAATCATGAATATTTTCTTACTCTTTTGCTTTGGTAGGCCAGCTAGAGCCATTTCTGCATCAAAATAGTTTAGCCACAGGTTAAGTCATGGTAACCTCATTGCTCAACTACAATATATAATTCACTAGAACGGGCGGTGCCAGATCTATGCCAGATCTAGGCATTTTACGACTCTTGGGCTACATTTGGCCCTTTGACTGTCCCTTTCTGGCTTGCACAAAGTCAGTCAGAAATTAAAAATCAAATATAAATAAATATTCATCATGCATGCAATACAAATGCATTCCTTTTATTTTGAAGTAGACAGCTATATATTTTTTAAATTTATTTATTGCATGCATGCCTATTTATCTTATTGGTTTGGCGCTCTGTTAACAGTTTCGGTTTCTCATGTGGCCCCCTGGGAAAAATTAATTGTCCACCTCTGTTCTATGCTCTTATGCATCAACTGGAAACTATAACTGTTTTAAAATTTAACTGCTGTATAGCATCTGATCAGTCCTAGAGGAGATCAACCCTGACTGCTTTTTAGAAGGCCAGATCCTGAAGAGGAAACTCAAATACTTTGGCCATCTAATGAGAAGGAAGGACTCACTGGAGAAGAGCCTAATGCTGAAAAAGATTGAGGGCAAAAGAAGAAGGAGATGACAGAGAATGAAGTGGCTGGATGGAGTCACTGAAGCAGTAGGCATGAGCTTAAGTGGACTCCAGGGGATGGTAGAGGACAGGAAGGCCTGGAGGAACATTGTCCATGGGGTCGTGATGGGTCGGACATGACTTTGCAACTAACAACAACAACATAGCATCCTTGCTAAAAGTGCTGCTCTTCCCCAAATTTCTACCAGGTTAAGTTTATAACTATAGTATATTAATATGCTTCAACCAATTTGAGGTTGGACACCAGGTCAGGAACAGATTATCATCGAGAAAATCTATGTGGTTCTTAAGAGCTGCCCCCAACTTGGTAGCATATAACCAACCAACCAACCAGAAAGAAGGATTTTCTTTCATTTGCAGCCATTAGAATTTTATTCTTCTTCTAAAGCTTGTATTGTTATCAAACTTCGTACATTTAAGAGGCATCCAGAAAAAAGTTTTATTGACGTTGGCATTGGATGCTTTATAGCAGGCATATGCAAGGCCATGGCCTTGTATATTTTAATATAGACAAAGGTCTTTGCTTCATATATTTAATTATAGTTCAAACTGCATGGAGAGAAGGCATGGCCCAATAAGAAGTACACAAACACTTTCCAGTAATTAATAAGCAACTTGCAAGCAGAGAATGGAAATGCAAATATCTTATAATAGCCACAGTTTTAACCATTGTTTTGTGTTCAAGGAAGTGCAGAAAGGTTTTCCCCCACCTGATACATCTGGAGAAGTTAGGTTGCAGGGTTCTTGCTTGTTGAACAATGATTGGATGGGAGCATAAGAAGACTTCGTTGGGGAGGATTCCCTTGTGCTTTTCAGGAATGGCATTCATTGTATCTTCGTTACAAATGTATTAAGGAACTTTCATAGCATAGTACTGTGTTTCCCTGGAAATACGACAGGGTCTTATTTTCTTTTGACCCCCGAAATAAGTGCCTGGTCTTATTTTCAGGGAGGTCTTATTATTTTTGAGGTACAGGAGGCGGCGAGTATGGTCACCTCGTAGCTGCTGCTGTGTTGCAATATTTTTGAGGGCTTATTTTGGGGGGAGGGCTTATTTTGGTGCATGCGCTCAAAAGCTCAATTAGGCTTATTATTCAGGGAGGTCTTATTTTGGGGAAAACAGGGTAGTTTTTTGGAAAGCCAACGAGCCCTTCTTGTACCCAGCATTTACCTAAACCTGGTTACAGCAAGAAAGAGAGGTGGGGGA